CATGGTTCGATCGATGATGAGTTCCACTGATTTACCTCTTTCATTCTGGGGTTATGCCTTAGAAACAACAGCACATATTTTGAATAGAGTGCCAAGTAAAGCTGTACCCAGAACACCATATGAGATATGGTATGGCAAAACATCCTCGTACAAATATTTAAAAGTATGGGGTTGTACTGCTTATGTGAAGCAGTTAGTGGGAGGTAAGTTGGATATGAGATCCATCTTATGCAAATTTGTGGGGTATCCAAAAGAGTCTATTGGGTACTATTTCTATGACCCCTCTGAACAAAAGGTGTTTGTTTCGAGGAATGTTGTTTTCTTAGAAGAAGAATGTCTCTCTAAGAATGACGGAGTTGTAGAACTTAATGAAGAAACACAAGAAATTCCACTAAGTACCACAAATAACATACCAGTAGAGATTGGACCATCTGAAACACAACCTCTTCAGAGACCCGAAAGGATTTCTAGGGCGCCTGAAAGGCTATACCTATTGTCAAAAGACAATGAAGAGGGATTCCTTTTGGATAATGATCCAATAAGCTATGATGAGGCAATGTTGGACATTGACTCAGATAAATGGCAAGAAGTTATGCAATCCGAGATAGATTCCATGTATTCAAACAAAGTATGGACTTTGGTTGAACCACCACAGGGTATTGTACCCATAGGTTGTAAATGGGTTTACAAGCGAAAACGTGGTGGAGATGGAGAAGTAAACACTTTTAAAGCAAGACTGGTTGCTAAAGGTTATACTCAAAAACAAGGTGTTGATTATGAGGAAACTTTTTCACCAATAGCAATGTTTAAGTCTATTCAGATATTGCTAGCCATAGCTGCGTATTATGACTACGAGATATGGCAAATGGATGTGAAAACTGCCTTTCTTAATGGAAACATTAAGGAAGACATTTACATGAAACAACCAGAAGGTTTCATATCCAGTGGAAGTGAACAAATGGTTTGTAAACTTCAAAGGTCTATTTATGGACTTAAACAAGCTTCAAGGAGTTGGAACATCCGGTTTGATGAAACTATCAAAATGTTTGACTTTCATAAGAATCTGGATGAACCATGTGTTTATAAGAAGGTTAGTGGGAGTGCAGTTGCATTTGTTGTTCTTTATGTTGATGACATACTACTCATTGGGAATGATGTAGGAATGTTGGACATGGTTGTCTAAACAGTTCTCCATGAAAGATTTGGGAGAAGCATCCTTTATCCTAGGGATAAAAATCTATAGAGATAGATTTAAAGGATGATCGGACTATCCCAGTCAACGTACATAAATAAGGTGCTAAAACAGTTTAGCATGGAATAATCCAAAAGTGGATATATTCCAACGAGTCATGGGGTTTCTCTTTCTAAGATGATATCTCCAAAGACACCTGAAGAAAGAGAACGGATGAGTCATATACCTTATGCATCTGCTATTGGTAGCATAATGTATGCAATGTTATGTACAAGACCTGATGTTGCTCATGCACTAAGTGTAACGAGCAGATATCGGTCTAATCCAGGTGAAGAACACTGAAAAGCCGTTAAGAATATTCTTAAGTACTTACGAAGGACTAAGGATATCTTTATGGTATACGGCAATGGAGAATTGAAACTAGAAGGCTTTACTGATTCTAGTTTTCAGTCCAATAAAGACGACTTTAAATCCATGTCTGGGTACTTATTCACTCTGAATGGAGCAGCAGTTAGTTGGAAAAGTTCCAAACAAGAAACAATTGCTGACTCTACTACAGAGGCTGAATATATTGATGCATCTGATGCTGCAAAAGAAGCTGTTTGGATAAGGAACTTCATCCAAGGGTTGGGTGTAGTACCATCTGTTGTTGATCCAATAAAGGTTTATTGTGATAACAATGGGGATATTGCGCAAGCAAAGAAGCCAAGATCTCATCAAAGATCCAAACACGTAATGAAATGATACCATTTGATTAAGAGTAATCATTGGTAGAGGCGACATCATAATGGAGCGAGTCGACTCAGCAGAAAATATAGCAGATCCCTTAACTTAGCCCGTATCACCGAAAGTGTTCGAAGGACATCTTGAGAAGATGGGCCTATGTGATTGGAACTAGGGCAAGTGGGAGATTATTAGAGTAGTATACCCGGCGTTCCAATCAGATTGGACGTATTCTACTTGAAAATACAATCTATTGGAATTATATTATTAATAAGGCATTTCTTTATCTTAAGAGTAAGTATTTATCCTATAATTGCACTTATGATAAAATCCCTAGATCACTTATGGTTATAAGATATGGTTGCGCATAGAGATGGTAATCATGGAACATATCTTGAAAACCGTGATCTTAAATAAAGTTCCAATTCGATGGATGTTTCGAGATGGGATATCGAATAATCCATAAAAGAATTGCACATAGTATGTATGCTTGTTGGACAAGAATGTTGCATTACATCAACATTAGCGTGAGACGCAAGTACATATATGTGGGTGCTTGTTAGAGAACAAGTTCACTGAACATGACCGTATGAAAATTCTTAATGACTGTTTATCATGTCGAATAAGAAATTTAATGTTACAATAGTACATGATTGATCCTTAGACTTGAGGCACAATGGTAACTTTGTGCATATTACATTCTACTTTGATTTATCATTTTGGTTGCTAGCACAATCGTATAAAGGGATATTTTGGGCATTATGTTAATATGTATGGAAGTTTGTTAGTGGCCAACAAAGGATTCGACACTTATGAAGATAAGTGAATTTCCTATGTGTTTCGTGATTAGTAATTCAAAGTCCTTGGCCAAGGCAGGATGAATGGAGATTCGTACGCGAATTACTAAACATGAAATAGAATCATAGTTATTAAATCAATTTGGGTTTCGACTAAAATCATACCCAAGATTTAATCAGGAAATTGGATGTCGAAAGGATTTTACATGTATGTAATTGTAATTGAAATAGGTTTACTCGCTATTCACTTAATACTAGATTCATGCTACTTGCTAGGTGTTCCCATGATATGTGGGTTCATGAATTAAGGGGTTAATTCATGAATAAGAGTTAATAAAGATTAACTCAAATTACAAAGAGTTGTAAACCCACTACTAGTATTAATTGTGAACCTAAAAGGTCACACCAAATTTTGAATGAAGGTAAAATTCAAATAGTAATTCTAAAGAGTTAGAATTAATTGACTAATCTAATTTGATTAGATGTCAATTTATGGAATATATTAAATTAATCAATTGGATTGATTAATTGAATTTTGGATATTAATTTAGTAATTAATGGAATTACTAATTAATAGTTGAAATTTAAAATTGGATTTTAAATTTCAAATCCAAATAATAATATGATTATTAAATAAAGAAATTGGAAGAAATGTTTAAAATAATAAAGTCTTGAAAAATGTTTTCAAGAATTATTATTTTAATGTTTTATTATTTTATCTTTAATATGATTAAAGATTAAAATAATTAAGGATTATAATAAATGGTGGTTAAGAGAGGTTAGGGAACCACTCTACATTGTTTATTATATAAAAGTCAATAGTCAGTAAATCATATTTAAATAAAATCTAATTTTATTTAAATATTACTAATTATTGATTATTTTATACTAAAAATTTTAGTATAAATATGTGTAAAGAGTTTACACAAAATTAGCTAAGTCATTTTACATAATTTCTTCCAAAATAGAGAGATACATTCAAGAGTTGAGTGTTTTTCAAGAATAGTTCTTGAAATATT